GATTTTAAAATGTACACTTCAGTACTGTTCTGTATACTGGCAAACTTTTGTACATATCTATAAATATCTATAAATAAATAAATACTGTATGTGGCTGGGCACATAGAGTAGTTTTACCACACCAAAGTTAATTTTTATGCATGCTTAAAATATATATGGGGAAGGGTTGAAAGAGATGGATATCAGTTAAATAGGAGAAAAGCAAGAAACTTGCATAGCTAATGGTTTTGTAAATAAATTTATTTGTATAACACCATAATGTAATATACAGAATTATGATAAGCAAAGATCTTTACAAAAATAAAGGGCTGCATGCTTATCTAGTTGTATTTTGTCACTAGTAACTTTTTGGATGGTCTCAATTGGCTGTTCAGGTGTTTGCCTGAGGGTGTTAAGCCATTAGGAGAAAACTTGACTTTATTTTCCCCAGATTAAGGCCATATGCAGTTATTCATTTCAAAATGGGGTTCTTTCAAACTGCAGTCGATAACAGCTTCTTGCTGCAACTCCCAAGTTAGAAAACCAGCAAGCAAAGAAAAACCTTTGTGTGACTGAATGAGGTATCCACCCTTCCACCTTGAGGTCTTCCTTGTTTTATTTCCCCTTGTGAAAGGGGAAGTTTCCTAGAAGCATCATTCCAAGGCGGTGCCCTTGGATCACATCACATGCAGCTGGAGAATAAGCACTGAGCCATCCCTCAGGAACATCCCTCAGGAACATCCCCCAGCACAGGCTGCCTCCAGCAGGCTCGGGTGGGTGCCATCCCCTCCCTGGCACAGGAGTTTCAGTGCCAGGCTGGGCCGGGCCAGGATGGGCTGGGGCTCCCAAGCCAAAGCAAAGTGTGGGGCATGGTCAGAGCACCACATGGAGCCTCTGGAGCGGAGCCAGGCTGGAACAGCGGGGACTGGTGGCTCCAGTGCCTGCTCTGTTCTGTCCTTTCTCACACACGGAGTACAGCATTCCCTGGCTCCAAAGGGAACCTGCCTGATCCAGTGCTGCAGCTTGTTCCCCCTGCTACAGACAGCACACACACTCTGTGTAGGCTGGGTACCCTGCTCCCAACCTCAAGCTGAATGATGGATGGAGCAGGATTTGTTCCTGAACTGTTTGTCTGACCTCTGACAGGGATCGGACACTTACTGAAAAAGTGACTTACTAATAACTGATGGTCTGTAATGGCACGTGAGGTGTCCCCCATGAGCTGTGACACTGGCAGGGTCTCCCGTGGCTCTGGCACTGCTCCCACAGCTGCTGCTCAGAGCTTCTGCAGCACATTCTCTGTATCTGGCTGGATTCAGACACGGACAATGGTTGTATCATTAACCAATACCTTGCACAGTCACTGGTGTGCACGGGCAGTGAGGCAGTGCTGTGCTCACTGCCTATGGTGGTGAAAGTGAAAATTGCCTTCAGGCAGTGAACACTACACCCACCCGAGGCCTCAGCCACATTGTGACCTGCACTTCTGGTGCACCTCTCAGTGCTGGGGTGCAGCAGCCCCCAGGAAACAACAGGCTCAGCCAGCTCAAACCTCACTGCACAGGCAGCACTGCCAGGCCTGCCATGAATCAGGCACTGTTTATGCTTATTCCCTCTCCATCCTGCTTGTCCAGCAATGAAGTTATCAGGCTTTCACAAACACAGCAGGGAAGAGCTGTACACAGGTTGTTGCTCAGCAAAACCAAGTCTGTAAATAAATTCCTTGGACACAGAAGAAATCAGAACTGGACACTAGTGAAAAAGACAGGTTTCCCACTGCAAACCTGTTATGAAGAGCAGTTTTGGTGAAGGTGGCTGCCACTGAAGTTTGGATCAAGCCATGGCACAGGTGCCGCTGCAAAAGCAGCTCTGCAATCCAGCAGTGAAGCAGCTGACTGAAGGAGCTGGAAGGGCCTTCCTACTGCCTGCTGTAGTCAGAGCCAGCCAAGGACTTCACAGCAGACTGAGCACCATCCCTGTGTCAGCCAGTTCCTCCTACAGGGAGGGACTGCAGCAAAACCAAAGTGACCCAGCACAGAGCCCCAGAACACAGAAGGCAGCGCCAAAGAGGGTAGCAGGAAAAGGGAGGGATGTGCAGGACATCGGAAGCGTACAGGGCCAAAATCCGTCTGATCCCCCCTGAAAGGCAGCCCTTCCTGTAGGCTTAAAAACTCATGGATTCAACAGCAGATGGTTAAGGCAGGATTTTTTTACAGTCTCTTGACTGGCAGCCACAGGTACATGCACCACTTCAGGCTGCACTGCCATTCCCCCTCCAGACCACTCATCAGCCCACGCCCCTTTCCAAAGGCTGGCACAATTAATTGGTTAATTACTATCTAAATGTGAATGGTGTTATGACCTGGCTTTGGGAACAAAACCACAGCTTTTCATAGTAAATGAGGCCACATTTCAAACTCTTTTTGTCCTGCCTGAACAAAGTGAAGAGGCTCTCAGAGGCTGCACAGGAACCCGAGCCCTTCATGTGCAGCTCAGCAAAGAATTTTCCTTCAGCTCTGCAGCAGCACAAAGGAAGTTATGAAACTGTCTGGACTGTGGCCATGTCTTAATTCCACAGCAACTGTGCTGTGAGCGATACTAATGGGGACCGTAACAAGCCCTTTAGTCTTCAAAAGCAGTCACACACACCTTCCAGCTACCACACTCCAGAAAAGGCAGCTCAGACTAAACCACTGATCACTACTGAAGCAGGAACTGCTGTTAGAGACCATTTAAAAAAATCCAAACACGTTGCAAACCATTGCTACCAACATGTTTTATTATTTCTCCATCATATCTCAGCTTATCCTGTCCCTAACAACTTGCACCTTCACAGCTCCAAACAGTCCTCAGACCAGAATTACTTTCCAAGCCTGTCTGAATCCTCCTAATGAAATACAGAGACAAAAAATGGACACAAATAGCAATGTTTAGAAATTCTGTTTAAACATTGAAAAAAATCCCCGTTTGCTCCATGACCAAACACTGGCACAGCTTGCCCAGGGAAGCTGTGGGGCTTTCAACTGTGAAAATACTCAAAACCCAGCCACAGTCTGAGCCCAAAGCAATCTGCCCTGGCTGCATATGGGCTCAGTGATCTCTGCCCACCTCACCTGCTCTGCAACCCTGTGCAGCTGCCCATCCCACTGAATCCAGCTCCCAGGGGGAACACTGACAGTATCCACCTCAGGACAGTCTATTGTATGCATGCACTTCCCTTCCGAGTCAATCAGACTGTCACCCTTCTCTTCCACATGAGGGGGAAAAAGAGCAAGGGAAAAAAAAAAAATCCCCAACACAGTAAAAAAGCACTACAGCAAACGATCTGAGGTAGGTGCTGTTAAGATCAGGGCATAGCAATGACTCCTAAAAACGTCTGTTTTCTCAGCTGCCACACTGGCTGAAATTTAGGGTGACCCAAATCTTGGCAGTCTTCAAGAAGCAGAAAAAGCATCAGCGTTTTTCCAGCCTCAGATATGCAGTCACTCACTACTTTCTTCAGAGGGAGCTCAGTAACCTCCTCTCCCTGATGCCCCTGGCAGATGCTCCCTGCATTTCTCCCCTCAAGTCATGAGTTTCCCCTACAAGTTCCACGCTACCAGTGCAGCAGCAGAGAATACCATGGAAGCTGATGGGGTGAAATAAATTTGTACCTGCAGCACTGTCAGCCAATACATGTCATGTTTTGCATGTTTGTTTTATAAATTCCTAATTTTTCAGATGATTTTGTGTTCTTCCTCATTTAATACAATTACAGTTCTATGTTTTCAAAGACAAAAGTTGACAGCCATGTGTCTGGGTTCAGGAATAAAATTATCAGTTATCTATAAACACAACAAAATGGAAATTAACCCATCAAAATGGCTGTCAAAGCAGAGGATGGTGCAGACCCCCAGGCTCCCCTGTGCACCTCCCTAAGTACACTCCTTCACTCAGAGGTCCTGTGACTTCCTGTGGATGCTCAGCACACACACACACGGGATAAAATACAACACCTGTAGGAGACAATGGATACTCGCTGATGAACAGCATTAGAGGTGTCACAACACTGTATTCTGAAAGCCCAGTAAAATGTTCAAGTACATTTGACTGTCACGACTGAAACAAAAGCCATCCTCAGTTACTCTGCCCTTCACAAAACACACCCATTCTTCCTGACACTGCACACGGGAACACTGCTAATGCACCGTGTCCAGTCTGCTCCAGGAGGAAAAGACATTTTAGTTTGCGTGGAGACCACAAGAACATGGCTCATTTTTATGGGACCTGGTATTAGATGCACCCAATTATGTGGTGAGAACTTTCACAGAGGTCAGCTGTTGTATCTGGGACTTTTCTTCAGAGCCGATTTTTATGATTTCTCAGAAGGATCAAAACCACAGCAGATCAAAGCACAGAACTGTTACAGTCACTCAGGAAAGAAATGAGGTCTGCCTAAAAGCATGTCAGCCAACACATCCCAGCACCACAATTCCTTCTCCTTACACTAACTGGGCACATTGATAGAGATTTAATCCTCTGTCAAGCAAGAAACAGGGTAAGACAAACAAAGAGACACACGGACACACACACAAAGTGATTACCAGCTGCTGTTTTTAAGTCTGTGTGCAAGAACATACAATAAAAAGTGTAACTGATAGAGTTCATACACAGATGAGTTTTTAGGGTAGAAACATATTCTTTCAGTAAAAATTCTAAAAAGTCCAAGACCCAAACTACAGTATTTTTCTCACTGGCAGATACTGATGTTAATTCTGACTTTACAAAACCTGCACATTAACCATAAACCCACTTGCTACGTACCTTAGAATCTAATTATGTGTCAAGATGAAAATATGTAACCAATTTAATTTCTTCCACCTGCTGACCTGCACAGTGTGGCCCCACAAACGAAAGATTAATGAGAGGTGTCCTTCATTCAGGAGGAACTGCAAGTTTGCTGATCCCAAGAGCAGTGGCTGACTGCAACTTAAAAACCTGCCATTTCAGAACCATTCATCAGAAAGAATTCAAATCACCCAAAGAGTCACCAAAACAATTTTATTTCCAGTGTTTAAGTGGGTATGCACACAGGCATGATACAGGTTTGGATTCATTAGGTCTTCATGCAGAATTATATTCTCGATAAAAGAAACCAGTTCCATCCAGTATCCACTATCTACACGCCTATGTTACAACATTTATATCAAATCTGGTATCTGAAGAAAAGATACACATGTAATATGTACAGTTAAGTTACTTATTTTACAGAAAGATTAGAAATTCAAGTCACATAAAACTCAAAATCTGTATTAAAATTGGAAATATAAAACTCCAATATTTACTGGAATGCCTAAGGAATGGAAGCTCTGTAGCCACCTGTGTTAACATTTGTAAAATGTAATGAAACTCATTAACAGTAAAATGCATTCATTTGTTTGTAATAAGTTTCTCTAATTTAGCAATATGGCACCCTAACAAACCAAATGAATTTATAATGAGGCACTTGTTAGTGACTAAACCAAAAGAACAATTTTCCTGCATACTAATGCCGGCCAACTCTCAGTCAGAAAACCATGTATACACTACACAGCATGTTGCATCAGATGCTTTGTTCAACATTTGTATGCAGCCATCAAATATACTTTTTCTTAAAATATATATATATACTTTAACTTTAGTGTTCTTCTGGCTGTGGTAATGCACTGTGAAGACGTTCCACAGAGCACATTGATGAAACCAGCCCAAATGAAGGCTGCATAACAACAACAGTACAGGAAAAAAAAATTATATATGTACACACACACACGCACACACACACACGCACACAGAGAGTTACTGGGAAGTGTAACAGTAAGTTAATGAATTGCTGCAGTGGACATATCTCCCCATTTCAAAGATACTGGTAAAATCGAGATCTAACCACTTGGGTCCCAGACAGTTTATGAGGATGGGCATCAACTGCTGGGCTGAAGTTGTTTTTGTTCATGTTCTGATAATTTTCACCATTTACCTGGTCTGGTGGCTGAAATGGTCCCGAAGGTGGTGTTCTATTAATTAAAGTCAAGCTGCTGGAAGAGCTGCCTTCATCTGCCTGCATCTCTGCAGATGAGGGCAGTTCTACCTTTGATACCTCTGCTAAGTTAGTGTTCTCAAGTCTGGGCTTTCCAGTTTCACCCGTATTAAGGTCAGTTGTGCTAGTGCGTAAACGTTCTCGTGCAAGCCAGTCCGAGATCGAGAGGTCCTGGGCTGGACATTTTGGCTTCAACCGAGTCACAGCTGAAAGCTCAGATTCTCTCTCTCTACTTTGACTTGGTTCTTGAGCTTTCCAAGCATTCAGGACACTTATTTCAGCAAAATCCCTCTGCCCTCCAAGTGTGTGCCTTCGCCTGATATTCTTTCTCTTTGCAGTCTCTGCAGAGTTAGCTTTCTGATTCCCAACTCCAAACATGTCATCAGCAGATGATTTGAGTCGCAGCTTTAACCTGTCTGTAATCTTGAGTCTCCACGTAGGTTCTTGTTTGTCAGCCTCACTTTTGGCAGACGTAGCTAAACTGCTTGTAGATCTTCCTTTTTTCATGATGTCAAACATTTTGGTCACAGTGGGCAAGTCCTTCTCACTCTTCGCATCCCCTGACCCCTCACTGTCTGTTTTGTGCCGTGCAGACTTTCTCCTGGAGAGAGTATCACATTCTATAAGTTTGTGTGAGCTAAAAAGTCTGCGACTCTCTAACTTTGGCGTGGAACTTCCCTCAGTACAACTTACTTCACTTTCTTCAGAGTTCCTCCGACTGGTCTTTACCACTTCTGGAACTTTCCCTTTGGACAGCCTTTCGGCAGCAGCGCTGGTAGCAAAGACAGGGAAGTCACTTTCACTGTCCGTCTCCATAGGGCGCCCTTCGCTGATCAGTTCACTTCTTTCATCATCTGCATCTTCTCCCTTGCTTTCTGTCACTGACTGCACCTCAGGGCTCAGCATACTGGCATCTAAACCAGTCAGATACATAGTAGATGAAGTAGTTGAGTAATCCGAGGTGATGGAGCTGACATCGGCTGCTAAAAACTCATTGTGTTTAATTTCAGGGCTGGCTACTTTTTTGCATGAGTATCTGTGCTGGGAAGCCTGGGAGGAAGTGCTTAGCATAGTGCCAGAATCAGACACTGTCTCCTCAACCTGGGAAGAAGATTGTGAAATAGGCATTTTTGGGTTATTCTTCTGCACGGTTTGCAGACAGTTGGTATTTGATGATTTTGTACATTTTTCATGGTAAGGCAGTGAAGGTTCCTCTGTCAGGATATTTTCTTTCTTTAATGACTTCTTTTCATCCTTTACAACATTCACATCTTTTTTACTGCTGTTCTCTTTTTCCTTCAGGACAAACATCCTTTGTTTTCTCCCTATCTCTCTCTCTCTTTCATATTCCCCTTTAGCTGTATTCTCTTTTGCTGTGTCACCACGAGATTGTTCTGCAAGCTCCTTCTTGAAAAACACATTATCCAACTCATCCTCTGAGCTACTTGGTTGTGGTTTTTCTTTTGTTTTTTTCCGCTTGCGACTAGCTGCTGCAAAAATGGAGGACACAAGCAGTTCCTTGCTATACTGATCCTTTCCAGAACCCCAAGAACCCTGTTAAGAAAAGGGAGAAGGCATAATTAAAGTCAAAAAGAAATATTCTTTAGCCTGAAACAGTTTAAAAACACATCCTGAGCTTCACAGAGAAAGTGCATCTTCATTCAGGAAACACTTACATGCTCTTTCTGTAGTTGAAGGGACATTGCCCAAGAAGTCAATTCCCTTCCTGAGCATTCCATTTTTTATCGGAGTCCCTTCAACTTAACAAAGACTAGTTTGTGTATACTACTATTTAGTTTTTGATTGACTAATAAAGCAGGCTCCATTACAGTAAGAAAACCTTTTCAAGACTGGTTTGCAACTGCTTCAAACCAAACCAAGCCTGGTTTGCAACTGCTTCACAGATGCTTCACAATCCCTTCCTTCAAGGTCTGTCTTATTCAAAAAGGCTAATTACTCCATTTTTCAGTTAATCTTTCACCTTTCAGAATGAGTTTGTAAATGGTATCAATTAATTACTGACAATAAAATGAATGTTACTCATAACTAGTTGAAGTGTAGAAAATTTTAAAATAAACTTCCTTCTTTTAAAGGAAGGAATTTAAAATAGCACAGAAACAATAAAAGTATAAGCCAAATTATTCCATTTTATGAATTAAAAACTATTTTCACTACTCTAATATTACCACCTGGCCCCTTCAAAGTTATGCAGCTTTCCTACCTAGTGCCTCACTGCTACAGGCAGTGTGATGTGGTGTCCTGGAAACTGAGCTATTTTGAGGAAACAGCTGAGCCACCAAACATCCTCACACAGCAGCTGTGTTGGCATCTCCACAATGAACCAGAAGGATGCTCTGAGTCCTATTCCCAGCTCCAAGGGGGGCATCAGTGCCACACCTGGAATGCAGGCCAGCACAGAGCTGTGCCAAGACCACACCGAGGTCAGCTGTGTGCTGCCCTGTCAGCCTATGCTACAGACACCCAGTGTTAGAACTACTGAACAACAGCCCAGGAGACAAAGATTTGTCCATGTGCCACATGAGGGCTTTGTCATTGAACTGAGGACTGAAGGAACACCCATGTTCCAGTCTGGTTCCCCTGCTCCATGAAGTGTTTCTCCTAAGCACAGCAATACTGCTGAGGGAGATTCTGCAGAGCAGCCTTTAACCACAGCCTTTAGCTTCTTCTAAGAAGGGGAGCTGTTGGCCTCTGAAGAACAGGCTGAATTCTAAGTATACTTTTCTCAGTGAAATAGAGAAACCTAAATACTCTCTGTGAGTTAGTACTGTGCCAACAACAGGGAATACACCATATATACATTTACCTCTACTAAATGAGATGCAAAAAGTAGGTAAGTGCCCACGACTGTGAGAGCTTGGAACAAAGCTGTTGCTATGTGCAGCTGACTGCTTTGATAGATGCAGCTAACTGTACACAATACTTATCCAAAGTAACCCTTCAAAAATAAGTTATGGGAAAACAGTACTACCACTTACTCAAGAAATTCTACATAAGCTCTAAAGTATCAGTGATTTAATAAAGGAAGCATGTAACAGATTTCAGAAGCTTGTAACTAGAGGATATAAAAAAATTATTTACCTTAGATTTTGCTGAGTCACTAGTAGCTGAATCTGTGAAAAAATAAAAAAAAAATTCTGCTCAGTTCTGTGCAATTTTTTAATTGTTGCTACAGACAATGCTGGACTTATGAAAAAGACAAGCACAGAACAAGATGTGAAGCAAATTAAAACCAGAACAGAGTGAATAGTCAGAGCTCACAAAGATGCAAGCTGCACCACAGAAAGCCACCGCCATGAAAGGATGCTGTGAATTGTAGGCAGAACCAGCTCAATGATAGGAATGGCAAAGGAGCCCTGTTCTTCAAAATAAAAAACAGAAATACTAATGTTTATTCGATGCTTTAAGTATACAGCCCCTGCAAAACCGCAGCTGAGAGACCTTTTCAGGATGGCACTGTGTACTCTCCTGAGATTCAGGATACACAAAGCAAAATTGGCTCTCTTTGTACAGTTGGCTCCCTAGGTACAAATCATGGTTCTTGTAGTCATACTCTTTTTGTGAGATTTTAAAGAAATAAAGTCATATTTTCGGTGTAAATCCCCAATTATACATCTCTCTCCACCTCTTACTACATACAGGTAAAATTTTATTTTTAAATTGTCTAGATGTCAGCAGCTACCAGTTTTGTACTTTTCCACAACAAGCGCTTTTATGAAATGAAAAATGGACACCATAGTTTCACTGTCTTGCAAAACCCAAGATTATACAATTATAAAGGGGGTAGGAAGGGGCTAGCACAATGACTAAAAAACATGAACTTGGGACTTTCTCCCTGGGAAGAAAGAGCTGAGCCCCCTGCCACACCCCTTTTTGACACATGGCTAATGCTTTATGACTAGAAAGACTGGTAGACCATACCATGCTATTTCTCCTCAGGGTCTGCTTCAGAGATAACAAGAAACAGCAGAAAAACTTTTAAAAAGTAGCATTGATCTGTTTAAAATACTCTTAAAAGAAAATTTACAGCACAGATCAACTTGGGGTTTTTCCATTTACAAGAAACGGGGGTTTCTGCAGACAAGGCAGCTACAGTGTGGGCAACAGTCCTCCTTCTTCCTACAGTTCCAGCTGTCCATCAGTGACATCACAGAATCCACTAATGACATCACCGTGTGATAGACTCCTCCCACTTCGCCTGTTACAACATCAGTACAAAGTGACTGTTTCAGTAAGTGCTGAACAACTTTGAAAACTGAAACAAAAGCTAGAGACGAAGGGATAACATTCCTGGGATACAACATGCTGGGTTAGTGCAATAGTAGAGTGAAGGGAAGAGGGGAAAAAGTCACCAAAAAAGAGCCTGTAATGCTTATCCTTAGCCACAAAAGAGGATGGCATTTATAAACAGAAGGAAACCAGCTTTAGTATAAACATACTGCAACATACTTAGTGTCCATTACTTGACAAGAAAACGTAACTCAATTTTTTGCATTCCCAGCATTGGGAAGAAGTAATATTAGAACACCACTGAAGATCAGTCTTTCTGCCATCACAACAAACCACTTTATAGCAGTGTATCTGCTTGACCTCACGATGATGATTGCATGGATTACTGTGAATAAATAAAATACTATGTGCAAACCTCATCTTTGAATGATTAAATTCCTGTTAGACAAAAAAGTCTTCCAACTTATATCATGCATGATTATCAACAATTCAAGTCTTTAAGAAGTGTTAAATGATCTTTTGGAAAAGAGGAAAACATTTTATTAGTAAAAGAAAATAGGAAGAGCAGGTTATTCTAGCCTATGGATTAACACTGTCCAGGCAAAGAGTTACCTGATACGTCTCCAGGAGATACTCCCGTTCTTCCAATGTTGGTGAGTAAATGATCTATGTTTGGCACTGGCTGAGATTCTACAGTGTTTTCCTCCTGAACTGCTGTCTACAGTTAATAAACAAAGATCTCTTCATCATCGTTTCACAAATAGTTCATTACGATTCAACAGCATTTAGAAAACGGCATTATTCACCTGAAGAACACGAGGAAAGCGTGTCCTATTTTCCTTTATGCTTTTAAAACAAATGCATGGCTTGCTTTTTAAAAAAAAAATAGAATTCATTACTACAAGGACTGGAAAGCTAAAAAGGTGCTTCTGAAGAGCAAACCATACAGTGATATAATAAAAAATATACAGGCGTTCTAGAGGCAGCAGAAGCAGATTCTAAACTACGGCAGTTAAAACACAAGTATTTATGTCATAATACTTACAAGAGGTTCTTCAGCATCATCTTCTGTGAAAAACCAGTCATGCTAAAAGTTAAAATAAAAAAGGTGAAAACCCCACTGGAAATACAAAACCCAAATATGGCACAATCAAACATAGATTTTACTAAATGTGAGAGTTTGATGGATAAATATCAGACCCAAACTGGCCCAATGAGCAAAAAGCTGGTTGATCTGTGTATGACCTTATTTTTTAAATAATGTAATACATCCACTTACTTTTTGGATGAGTGTTTCTACAATTTTATATTGGTCTGGCATGTGCGTAACCATGTGTGTCATGTTATCATCAGATGTCCTCACAAGTGTTGGACCAAATACTATTGCCAGGTTTCTTGGTTCCATCTAAGAAATGAAATATTTCCACATCAAACATTTACAATGAGAAAACACAGTAATATGGGCTAAGCACATTAATACAACACTATTAATATATATGAGAACCATTTAAAATAAGGACATGAAAGAGTTTTTAAAAAATACATTACTGACTCAGGTAGGATGTTACACTACACCAAAACTCTCCTATATGCAGCTGCAATAAATATACCCAACATTTCTGCAATTCAGAATTCCAGCCTTCCTTAACCTACTGCAAGCACATGGCTCCACAAGCCCAGAAAACTCAAGAACCCAGACATATTCTTTACACTTTCGGGGGGATCTTTTCTTCTTTCCTTAAAGAAACACTGATGCTTGGAAACACTGATGTTTTAAGACTTTTCTGTTTTGTAAAAAGGCATTATTGATAGTCCCCTGCTTCTTTTTCCTGAAAACATAAACATGACACACACAAAAAAATTAAGCTGGCAATCAAATAGTGTATTATATCTACGGACAAAGACCTCATTCACTTTGCTCCAACTTGAGAGGAGGTGGCAGAACAAACATCACAGACCCAAGACATCTATTTGTGAGCCTGGCTCTGTGTTATGTGATCAGGTCACTACTTTAAAAGTGAATTAAGGATATGACTAATGTTACATCTCTGACAAGTAATTTCAAGAAGCAGCAGCAGAACTTACATTCTATTTTTGCTTACTTCTTTAACTTAGAGTTTACTGTTCTAGTATAGAATAGACCAGCAATATACAGGAGGCAAAGACTTTGTGCTTACCAGAAGTTGTGAACATGACACAAGCCCCTAATGCTCTCTTGAATTGTGTCTTTTGACAAGTCACACAATTGTAACACCACCTCATTCATATAGCCTTATGTATTCAACAATATTAACAGTATTTAACAACATTTATACAGCCCACCAAAACTATAAAATGATAAGAAAGCTTCCTTTAGGCACTGCACTTAAAAATGACATTTACTGTAATTTCCTTATAATATCGTCTGTAATTTCACTGAAGGTTATAATCTGTTGAATTTTTTAAATGAACACACAAATACTTTTCTTTCATATTTAACTGGAAGGTGTTATTTGCAGAACCTATCATATTCACCTCAACTGATCTTTTAAACAATTTAAGATTATTTAAATGATTTGGCCACAGGCTCTTCTATATACTATCAATTATATAAAATTTTTCCTGTACCCTGCACATAGGTAGCCAAGCCACCACATTATCTGCCCTGAGGCAAACATCCATAAGCACACCCATAGTATGGACAGCTTTGCACTCAGCTACCCCTCCCTGAGAGCTGAAAAAGCATTTACTGAAGGATTATAGCATTTAACACAAGCTACCTCTTTCCTACCCTATGGAAACTACAAAGAATTATACTTAGTGGTGGAAAAAGACCTGGTAGTGATGAACAGCCACCATTTACATTATGAATTTTCTTTCTTAAAACCATCCAAACAGCATCTATAGGGCAATCAAATACTCAAGCAACTATAGCAAGTCCTAGTCTTAATCTCTCAAGCATCCAGAAACCAGGCTTCAAAGAAAGCTGATGTGACAACCTCTGTCAGTAGGTTTATTCACCTGTGCCCTGCCCAGACACAGTCTTACTGGTGTCTAGACTGGTTTACAGGAAATTAACAGACTCGGAGTAACTTTAGGATGGAAGGAGCTAATTCCCAAAAGACTGACTACCAGTTTGAAAAAACTTAATTCACACTAAAACCGTGCATATTTTGCAGGAGTAATTAGCCTAATACAAAAATATTCTCCACATAGTAACACTCCCTAATTTCATCTACAAAAATAAATTATCACCTTAATTAGAAATGATCCTGTACAAAAATAATATTTAATGAAACAACCAAAATACTTTATATGTTTCTAATACCTTGTTCTTCTCTGAGTTCTCTGCTACTGTCTTCAGATGTGCAGAAAGAAACTTCAGAGTCTCATAATGGTGTTCAGGTAAATCATGAATCTGAAACAACCAATCACTATTTAGAACATTGAACATTTACTGCTAGTTTTGTAGTGCACCTACAATACAATTGATTTTAGTTTACCAGTCTCTTCAGTGTTTTCAGACGTTCAACAGGATCTTCTTTTCTATTGGCATCTATAAAATCTGCATATTTGTCTGTTAAAAAAGCAGAAATTATATGAGTTTTTCTATCCATATACATACGCACAAAACTCCCATCTGCCAGCCCCACTCCCCCTTGAACACTAGTGACATAAATAAAAGAATGATCTCTGGAAGTCATTAGCCCATTATATTGTACGTGTATGTTTTGTATGACAGTAGGAACAAAACCTCCAGCTTTCACTGAATACTGCAACAGTGGAATTGAAAGTTTTACTCTTTTCCTTGCATATTCATAATCCCTTCACATCAGAGAAATTATATTTTACACCTCTCAGTCTTAAGATGATCACCATGACTCCCTACTCTTTAGGAAAGACAACATTTATTGCAGAGTGGGGATGATTTCCCTGGATTTTCTCTCAAATCATCTGAATGTTGTAAGACAACTGTTGAACTGCAATTCCTAAAGACAAAACTGTAATGAAAACAACCTACCATTGGTAAAGAGGGGCTCCGGGAGCTTTCGGAAGAAGGATTTCAGCAAACTGCTTATCACGTTCAAGTCACGCCATTTCTATGTGTTTAAAAGAAAAGGTCAGACATTCTTTATATTTCTATGATCAAAACACAACCAGACGTTTTGGGGATTTTAATACGAAATTAGTGTGATCAAAGACTTACATCATCATGAACATCAATGTCAGTCATTCCTTTGTTGAGCTCTTCTTGCATACTTGAGATGGCAGCATTATTTCCGGGCACTCTGTAAATACCTGTGTACTCAAGACCTCTTTCTTCAACCAGTTTGCAGCATATATCAACAATCAATGGAATATACTGAAGAAAAAGAATTGTACAGATAAATAATTGATTTTAAAAGTATTTTAAATTCACAATGAAAGAAAAACTATTTTCATACTTTGTTGGTGTGAGCTGGAGGGCAGTCATCTAGTCTAACACCAAATGTTCCAACAGCAGAAGGCTTCTTTTCAAATGTCTTCCTCATAATACTTGGAATGCCTTTTCTCCATGTCCCTTTGTCTTTTGGTGGGCTTGTCTCATCTTTTTGATGTAAGAAGAGTGGAATAAAAGAAAATAAGTAAGAAAAATAGGAACATTTATGCCACAAAACTGACTGAAAATACAGGCAACAGATTTGTAAAGAGCAAGTGACAGCTGCTGCATTTTTAGCTTTTACCAACCTGGCTTTGTGCAGCATCTCATTAAATACTAGTCTGTCTTAAACACAACTTCTGTTACTCTTCAGTGGTTCAAAAGATAAATCTGAACATACCCACACCTCAGATTTAAAAAAGCAAGTAGCTAGATGGTACTGTGGTATTTTATCATTCTAAGACTAAAAGTAGATAAACTACTAAATTTAAACGTGAAATTTATATAAACTACTAAAATTAAAAAAAAATAATCTACATTTAGTAGCACAACACTAAGTCTCCATGGAATCACAGTGCTGCACAAAAATACCCATTAAACTCTAGAGCCATGCTCACACTTGAGCAGACTTACTCACCCTTTCAGAAATTATCAGATTTTAGTCACTCCTGAATAATTCCAAACATTACTCACTTAAAGTATTCTCTAGCCAAAAATCAGATTAGAAGTTCAGTTACTCTGTTTACCTCTCCTATAGAATTCTTATAACAAATTGCAATTCCCATTTATCTTGCACTGCAAGTCATCTAACACAGTAAGTACTTCTTTCTTATTTCTGGAGATATTCTTTCAGTAGATTTGAGATTCACCCAACATGTGCAATTTAGTTACATGTGTAGCACTGCAGAAGCAAAGGGACTTTTTTTGGCAACAAAAACCAGAATTCACTGATAGCTTAACTCAAGACTGAATCACTCCAAAATGGCTGATCAAAAGTAGCTGCTTATCCAGTTGCCTGAATTTGTACACAACAGTTTTTAAACAACAGTCTGATGTGAAGTACCATATGTTTACATACTGTGTGAAAAAAAAGTTCAAAAAAAGAAAAAGATAATAAAAAAGCTTGTGACATTATTTGATGGAATTCAGATACTGATTCAAATTTGCAGAGCAAGCTCATCAGACTATTTTAGAACTCGGGAGGCATTAATTTTGTACTGGAAAAAATAATAAAAGTTCACTCCTGTGTTTTAAAAATTAGGACAAAAAAAATCTGTTCTATACTTTGGAAGCACTTTATTGGAAAAATTTACCTTGCCACTTCCGAATCAGCTGGAGACAAAAGTATGAATTACACACAAAATTATTTCCAAAGCTTGGCAAAATTTTGCTCTCAAAAAGCCTAACACCTGTATTTACTACTGTTAGCCCTGCGTGGAGCTGTAGGAGAAAAAAAAACCATAAAAACCTCTTGAGACTAAAATAAAAAGTTTCAGGATCTGAGAGGAAGTAGTTCCTAGAAATAAGAGCCTAGAGCTGCAGTTTAAAACCCCTGGCTAACACTTGGTTTGCATCTGTATATTCATTAATTAAAAAATACCTGAGAAGGGCATCTCAATGGCCTGACACAAGGGAAGAAGGGAACTAAAGAAATGCATAAAACACACAGACCTTTAGTGAGAAGCTTCCTTTCGGTCTCATCCTTAGGAGAGTGTGGACTCTGAGTCCTCTGTTCTGCTTTAGTTCCAAGTAGAGTCTGTCTGATGCTCAGACTCTGGCGAGGTGTTTTGGGAGATGGCTCTGTTTTGCTGCTTGAAGAACTGAACAAGAGAGACTGCTTCAGTTGAACGAAGCTAAATAAGAACTCTACATAAACTACTGGCAACAAAGAATTCACCCACCTCATCATTGTACTGTACTCTTTAATCCTTCGACTAATTAGATCTCTACTAGTAACACCAGTATCCTAGAAAATAAATTGAGAAAAACTTTATAATCTTATAAAATAGAAAAAAAATTCCTTTCAGAATACGATTAAATCTTCTGGTAACTAAATAAGCACAGAACTAAACAATTCAGTCCACTTTTAAAAAAAACCCTAAACCCTCAATCAAACCAAACATCCTAACAGGCAGCTCCTGAGAACAGTAAAGACAAAACACTTTAAAACCAGAAGGAAAATAAAAGTAATTAATTAAAAAATCAAGTACTGCTATTTACATGGGGTTTTTTTTCCCAAAGCAGTAAAAAAATGGAAGTAAATGTGTATTACTAGTCCGAAAAATCCAATCCTATGTGCACACAGTACTTAGAGAACTAATTGCTACTACATATACAGCTGAAAAAGACATTAATTCAAATCTGCTCTATTATCTATCTGTGTAATACTTTGGATAATTATGTTGAATCTGAGCAGATGTGCATGACCGCAGACATGAAAATATTCTTCTGTTGCTCATCACTGCAACGAAAACACATAATAGACAATACTGGGACAGATATTGATACCTTATGTACAACAGCAGATGTTTTACCTTTGGCAATGAGCATTAACTTAATTCATAGAAACATCAGCTTTAAATCAGAGAAACAGGCATCTTCAAAATTTATTTTTTAACTACCGAGAAACTCTCCACACTGTACTACTGCACACACAACTCTGCAATGCAAGTCTGAAGAGAGACCACACTGGTCTTAAATCTGCAATTATCTTTGAAAAAAGGTTAGGTATTTTCGGCAGATCAGTTTAGTGTAAAGTGTATCATTAGTCAAATCAGCAACAGCATTAACTAATTTATTTCAAACATCTATTTTCTGATTATGATACACTGACTATTTTTAAACTCTATTAATTTACTCAGTTACCTTTCTTTTCACCTCATTTTCTTTTATGTTCCCGTATTTTGGACTACTGGTTAATTAAAAATTAATTCTTCTGTTCAAGTATTAATTACAAGAAAACAATTTTTAATTAAAATGGAAAAATGACAACTTCTGCGTTATATATTACACAATCACCTCGTCATTTAAGTTGCTGTTGTCTTGTATTGCTTTAATCCACGCTAACATATTATCTCTGTCCTCAGCTTGAAACAAATACTCGCGGTCTGACGTGGTGAGTCTAAATACGTTTTTCCTCTTGGTTTCACAGTAGGAGATGTCTATCAAGCAAGCATTGATGCTTATAGGTTGTTCTTCCTCAGAGAGGGTCACTTGCTCCTTTTTATCCTTGTACAAATAAAGTGAATGACCTCGAAGAACAACATACAGTTGCTTCCATGGCCGAATGCTCCCACCAACTCGCTGAAAAATAGCAACCAAGGTGTCAGTTTGCTTACTTGTTACAGTGCACATTTCTGGATTGCAAAACTACCTCCAGAAGTTTTAGAGAGAAAGGCTACCCACCTGGCTGGCAGAAAGACTACACAAAGTGGGATTCACTAACTGCTCTCCATGAGAGGAGTGAATCGCTCCATAACCTGCCCTCCCAGACCACGCACTGACTGTGAGCTCACATGTGACAGCAGTAAGAAACAGAATGAGACACTTTCTAGTCTGGTATTTAGGAAACTCTTGCCCATGCCTTTTGAACTGCCTTCAAGTCAGAATGGCGTTTTCACACCACTGCAATTCCAGACACTCGATTTTCCTTAAGCCTTAGTCTATATTTGTGCAGAAGTGAAATTGGAACTCAACTTCGCAACATCCACAAAAATTACAACTTCTTCACTGTTAGGAAAGAGGAAAAAATACAACTACACCTACCAAAGGACTGATTCTTATTATTTAATTAGTCAATAGAAATTAATTTACTTCAACAGATGCTTTGAAAAACAAAATTAAAACAGTCTGTAGACAAAGCTGAGGAATTGACAGAAGTCAATTTCTAACAGATCTACAATTTTGACAGTCTTATTGATGATATTATTCCATCAAAAAAAAATTAAAAAAAAACTAAACAGGAAGGCTTGAAGTTTCTTATCTTAGTTTGTCACCAGCTTGCATTTGTCCTAGGTTAAAAACCCAAACATGACAGGTACCTTTCCTTTGTCTGTAAAAAGCTGACGAAAATGGAGCCATCCTTCTTTGGAGGCATCACCAAACACCTCTGAAGAAGAATCTTTTCGGGAACCAGAGTCTTCTGAAGATTTCTGGCTGTCTGGGACCTAGAGCAAACATCACAGAAAGAAACCCACAGTGTAATTCTATAGATACTTGCCTACAGTTCCTATGTTCAAAATGTTCCCAGGATTATGGTCCCAGGAAAACATAATTTCTGAAGTCTACACACAAATATAGTGACCTTACATATGCCAAGAATACTTCAAGAAACTTCATGAATCTTAGACTCTTAGTGAGTTTTCACAAAAGGCCACCATATTTAATATGCTTTGCTTACAGAGACTGAGGAAAATGAAAATCAAGGACCATGTGATGAATCCAGGAAAAAAGAGACCATGTTTATTTTCATGATGCATACATCAGCAATTTGATCAGTATCCATTCCAATAAACATCCTGTCTGTTTAGCAAGTAACTTTGTAAAACAGACCTGTATAATTCAAACCATTTGTTACAGAAGTATGGGTAATGTTTAAGAGTTGCTGTATATATATATTTACCTACCTTAATCCCCTTTAAACTAGATACATGCTTAATGGATCTGTTGGAAGAAAAACAAATGTTAAAATGAGATTTTAGACACTTAAAAAAACAGATGTCGAAAATAACTAATTTTTCCAGGAACTCACGATTTTCCCTCTTCTCTGTAGTCATCCAGTCCTTCATCATACGACTTTGATCTCTCAGTTTTTGTGGCAGGCTGGCTATCCAGGACACCAGGCCGGATGGATTCTACAAAGAAATCGAAATTTTTGAGTATGCAGGAACTTGAATGACATTTTTGCGATTTATTTCAAGCAATAAAGAGTTTACAATTTTCACTTCTGATCTCCAGAGTGTGAAAGGAAAAGAGTTGCAAGAGAAAAAGAATGAAATCAACGCTCACCATGATCATGTGAAAGTTGTCGCCGAATTAAAGGGATTGGAGATGTAGGACTGGGAGGAACAGTTGCTATAGCTGGTGCTTGAGAAGCAGATGCAGAAATAACAGCAGAAGCAGGAATGTGTGCAATATCATGGTCAATACTAGGACTAGTCGGTTCATCTACAAAGGTAATATATTAACATATTAAATGCATTAATCAAATGCTCAAACCAAATAGTTGTCTGAACTTCTCATTACTGGGATATCAGATATCTTAAACATGAAGTCATTCTAACAAACAAAAGGGTCCAATTAATTCACACTGTCAAATATATTCTTTTAATGAAGAGAAGCTTGCTTCGTTTCATAGGGATGTTAATTGTACACAGATAAAGGTAAAAAATCACCGATTTTGCTGTGTGCAAAAGAAACAGGAATTATCTGCTAATCTCTCAATATTATTTGCAAGTAGACAATTTTTGTTTATATGCATAAGCAAAACCCACACTTATTATATCAGTAAGTTTGAACTCAAAAGACAGATATCTACAATAAAATAGAGGCAGACTATCAAAAGCCATTTGGTTTAAAAGAGTGTTCAAATAAAACAGCCAAGTTACAAGCAAACAAAAAAAGGATTTTAACCAGCTATCTAGAAGTCAAAGAACCAATCCCCCCATCCTCTGAACATTCAAATAAAGAGGCAAATATTCAGACTTTTAAAAGATGGAACTACTACATACCAAGCAGTTCTTCCACTAATTGTTCATAGAAACGATTGCATGCCATACATGCCCAGCACCTCTCAGTCTCAATAGCCACAAGGGTCATCATGAAGGATTCCGAAAAGCTTTAAATATTCTAGTATTTAACATGTTTCTTACAAGATGGAAGAAGCTAAAAGATGCATTTTCCATCCTTTTGAGAAAAGAGCCATAGCATCATCTAGAGCACATTACTAGTACTAGAAAAATCATTCTACTTCATGCTCTGGGCAGAGAAGGGGATGGAAACGAAAAAAAAAAATCAAGTCACGAGCAGGGGCTGAACTGTACTGCTGTAATGAATATGAATGTACTCTAGGTGCTAAGAATTGTAATATGCAGAGCTACTGAAAAGCCTATTGAAGCCAATGAACACTCACAGACAGAGGTTTATTCTTTGCTTTGTGTGAACACAACTGCGTGTGCTGCATTGTGCTGTTCCAACAGTCACTAACAGTTCTGTTAAGGCAGCACTTGTACCATCAAAATTTGGCAATGTACATTTAGAACAAGGCAATAAACAAAGTGCAGGATGGTTTAGCAGTAACACACCTCTAAACTATCCAGGGTGAAAAATATAGTAACTTTTAAAGTTGAAAAGCATATGCCAAAAAACCCAGCTGCAAACTAGAAACATTAATAAAAAAGAAAAGCAAAAGAATTCACACCAAACCATGACACTACAATTAAAACATTTCCAAGTTTTACTTGCATCCAAAGTGATAAATTAGAAGTACTTACAGATAACTTCACTACAGCAACTAGGATACAGGAAAAAGCTCAGCTACACTTCAATTTCCAACCTACAACAGCTCAATTTTCTATTTTTTTTCATCTGCTGAGCTTCCCTGAAACTAATGTTGACTAAGGAATATAATCACTCACTGCAAAATTGATTGATTTATAGCACAGAGACTGAAAGTGCTGAGGTTTAAGTTATTTATGTTAACAGACGTATCTCAAATATCATAGTCTCTACTCCTAAAAGTTATAAAAACACCAGCACTTGAAATAGATCTGTGCGAGCTCTGAACACAAACATGTTTGGCAACACCACGGCATTTCTCACAACACTTAAATCCAAGAATTCAGATGAGAAGGAAGAATTTGTCAGTCCCTGAAAGCAGCAATAGTTATTTAAATCATTATTACTTCACAGTGGATCTAATTCCCAAATGAATTAAAATTAAAGTTGCTTTAGAAATATGCAAACTTTAGAGGAACTGCAAATGACATTTGTATAGGAGGGGCATAATTATTCAGTCCCTGAAGAGGCTCAAGGTCAGCTAATAGCAAGCTTTTATGTAATAGAAAGTGATTATGGAGCAAATCATGATGTACAACATAGGAGTTCCTGCCTATTAATTTAATGCACTAGCAAATGCCACTGCTGCTGTCCAGTAAGAAACAAACCCCTAGAAACTACCTATGTTCCTTGCATTTTGATCTTTCAAGTGCTTGCAATATTTGTTTACCTTTTCAGTCTCCTTCACTGATATATTCACACCCCAAAACTCCTCACACAGCATGTGAACAGATGTGTTCTGCTCACCAATCAATGAAAATGACTGCGTCCAAAATGCAGTGAAGTGCACAGAACAAACAAGCCAGAAGAGAAATCACACAAAATTCTCTTTCAGCTTGCAACCTCAAATTATACCGGCGTCTCTTTAAATATTTGTAACAAAAAGGTCAAAGACTCCATGGAAACGATTATTGTGGGACATACTGAAAAACACCTGGAGGACAACGCAGCCATTGGTCAGAGCCAGCACTGCTTCATGAGGGAAAGCCCTGCTTGTCAAACCCAATTTCCTTCTACTACAGGTTTACCCACCGAGCTGATCTAGGAAAGCCAGCAGCTGTAACCATTTTGAACTTCAGCAAAGCTTTTGATTCTGTCTCTCACAGCATCCTTCTGAACAAAGCATCCAGCTCACAGCTGGATAACCCTGTTACAGGATGGGTGAGCAACTGGATCATGGGTTGGGCACAAAGGGCTACAGCGAGTGCAGGTGACAACAGGCTGGTGATCTGTCACTAATGGAGTTTAACAAGGATCCATCCTTAGCCCGGTTCTCATCTTTATTTTAGCCACCCAGACACAGTAATACCAAGTAAGTTTGCTAACAATATTAAATTGGGAAAAGCTGTCAACTCCTTCAAGGGCAGAGAGGCCCTTGACAAGTTAGAAGGCTGTGCAACCATATAAAGTTCAACAAGGATAAGTGCCAGATTCTGCACCTGGGATGGGGCAACCCTGGTTGTGTGCAGAGACTGGGCAATGAGCAGTGCCACAGAAAGGGACCTGGGGGTGCTGGTCCATGGCAAGTTGGACAGGAGCCAGCAGTGCCCTGGCACCCAGGAGGGCCAACCCTGTCCTGGGGGACATCAGGCACAGCATCACCAGCCAGGCAAGGGAGGGGATTGTCCTGCTCTGCTCTGCACTGGGGCGGCCTCACCTCCAGTGCTGGGGGCAGTTGTGGGTGCCACAGTGTAAGAAAGAGATCAAATTATTAGAGAGCATCCACGGGAGGGCCACAAGGATGGTGAAGGGCCTGGAGGGCACCTATGTAAGGTGCCTTGGTCTGTTGAGCCTGGAGAGGGGGAGACTGAGGGGAGATCTTTGTGACCTTCAAAATCCTCAAAAGGAGGAGGGGCAGACACTGATCTCTTCTTCACTCTTGCGACCAGTAACAGGACTCAAGGAAACAGCACAAAGTTGAGGTAGGATATCTGGAAAAGGTTCTTCACCCAGAGGGTTGCTGGGCACTGGAATAGCTTCCCAGGGAAGTGGTCACAGCACCAAGCCTGATCAAGTCCAGGAAGGGTTTGGACAATGCTCTTGGGTGCATGGTGTGATTCTTGGGGTGTCCTGCACAAGGCCAGGAGTCAAGACCCAATGATCTTGATGGATCCATATAATTCTGTCATTCCAGGATTACTTTATGTTATGCTTTTGAACCACAATCTGTTCTGCATTATCATCTCTTAAGTGACACAAGAGACTGGCTATCAGAACCAAGCCAGCACACTGATAGAGCATCTATCTATCTATCAAGGGGCAATGCCATTTGTCACTTCTATTTGCACATGAAAGTGCAACTGGTCAACAGTTCAACTAATGATTTTCAAGAAGAGCCCTTCAATGCAAAAACATTTATGGGGTAAGACACTAAAAACTTGTAATAAATAGGCAACACAGCTCCAACTTCAACTAACTGACCCTCTAGATAAGGCAGTATATCAAGGTATACGTGTATTGCCATGCAGCTGGAGACTGGGAACCTACAAAGAGAGGGAGCACCTGCACACAATGTAGGTGAGGTGAAAAAACCTGATACTGCAAAGACACAGATTAATACAGAATGGGCTCAGAGGCAGAACCAGAGATTTCAGAACTGAGGATTTCATGGGCGAGAAAGCATGACAAACAGGACATGCTATCCCCACTACATGAGTGAGTAACTAAGGAACAAGTATTAACCAATTTATCAGATATTGAAAGAAACAGACACAAAATCACTGAAAAAAGCACAGATACATATCCTATTAAGCTGCTACAATACAATTTTTTTTAACCATTTTTTACAAAATTTTTACCATGATTAATATAGCATTTCCCATGTTTGTTTATTCCATCTCCTGAACACTCTCTTAAACATTAAGGTTTGAAAGTAACAACCTGAACACAAAAGGGGGCATATTTTGAAAATCTCAAATGTAATTTAAATGAATCAGATGGAATTATTCAGGTGGAAGCAAACCTTAGAAGGTCTCAGACTCACATTCTCCACAAAGCAGGGTTAATGCTGAATTCAGACCATGTTGGTGACGGCTCTTACTCATCAAGTGCCAAACAGAGGGGAAAATCTCCCTCAATATCATGGCTGTGTTCTTTCTTATTGATACAGACCAGGAGAGTGTAAGTCTAGCGTTGCCAAACTTAAAAAGCATACTCTAGCTCCTCTCAAGGTCATGAATGTTTAACAAGATGGACCCTGAAGAATGCCACCCATAACCAGCCTTCAGGCAGAATATGAATACTTAGGCACCACCTTTTAGACCTGATAATCCAGTTTTCCTATGTATCAGCAGTACAGCCATCTAACCTATGGCACAAGGACGGTGTCACTGAAGAGCTCAAAGCCCTTGCTGAAGTCGAAGTTGGTGACCCTCTGTGTCTTCCTCTCATTCAAGATCTACTCGTCTCATTACAAAAGGCAATGCCATTAGTCAAACACTTAGTAAATCTATTCTATTTTAAATCACCTTCTCCTTCCTTTGCCCAGAAACTAGTTCCAAGAGGACCAACTCCATGATTTTCCTAAGGACTGAGATAAGGTGAATCGACTGCATTCCCTGAATTGTCCTTCTCATCATTTTTCATGATAGGTGTACCATCTGCTTTTTTCC